GGGGGGGGGGGGGGCGTCCACACGCGTGTGCCCTGGCGGGTGCGGCGCGGGCCGCGGTGCGCCGCCTCCGCAAGCGGTCCTGTTCTCTAGACTCTGGACGCCGAGAGCGATGCCACTTATCCCTGCGCACCCCTTATCACATGACTTTGTAGTCCTGAACGGCCCCGGGACACTGCAAGCATCAACCAATTGCGCAGCCACCCAACCACCCAACCAGCCAACCATTCAAATGCAGACCTGATCAACGCCAACATCTGGAGCCACAACTTAATGGTCCTCCTCAGCCGCCGCACCTCCCGCGGCAAGCACCACGGCGGCGCCCGGCCCTCGGACGGCGCCGCGCTCTCAGACGTCGAGTCGGCCCCCCTCGCCGCCGGCCCCGGCGCCGGCCCCAACCCCTCCTCAGACGGCGGCGCGGCGGCCGCGTGCAGCGGGGATCATCCCTGGGGGCCGTGGCTGGTGGTGACGGCGTTTGTCGTGCTTTACTCGTACGGCATATCGATGACCATCCCCTTCTTCTCCACCCTCGGTGAGTCACCGGCTTTGACCCTCATCTGGAATTGTGGGGGCTCCACAGAGCTCTCTATCTTTCCTTTGTTCTGGGCTCCTCTTCGCGGGCGTTGCATCAGTGTCCCGCAGGCTGCATTTCGATCCTCCTTTGTTGATGTATCGCACAACAACGCTGCTCCGCCGTCTTGTACATAACCTACCCCCTCCCCCCTCCACCCGCAGTGGGCATCGTTTCATCTTCTACCTACCTGCTTTGCGCCTACACGTGAGTACTGGGCCCGCCCTTGACATTCCAAATCCCTGACCCGGATCGCCCGTGTTTGTCAGCGCACTCGTCGCAACATGCTGCAATCTGCGGTCCGTCTCGTCATGTACCGCCTCTCAACCCGGCGCCAATTCATCTCGCATTTACACCTCCACCACAACATGTTCTTTGAGCGGTTCAGATCTGGGGTCCAATATTAGGTCGAAGCCCGCCAACCGCCCCCCCCCCCCTCAACCC